TATGTATCTGTCTTTGGGGTCCGCTGGAAAGACTACACTCTAACTCAATGAATTGGTCTTGGTGGAAGGGAGATGGAAAGATGTGTGGGGAATAGTGAGTGTTGGAAAAATGAAAGAAATAAAGAAAAAGCACACCACAAAAAAGCAAACCTAGACTTCAGAAGTGCCTGAGAGCTTAATTAGCAGAAAACCCATGTTGATCTCAATAAATGGCATTAATAATTTGATATCGGTGACTGTATTTTAGTTCCTCTATTGACTAGACATACGATCTTGGGCAGGTAATTAACTCCTCTGTGCTTGTTTCCTCAGCTGACTGTTATATGAGGAATAAAGATAGGCAAAGTGCTTAGAAAAGTGCTTGGTACATAGTAAGTGATCAACATATGTTAGTAACGATGACAAAGGTAATGGAAGGCCAAGTACCCTAGTATATGATGTCAGGAAAGTAGGCTAGGTGAAGGGTTCCTGTGGTTCTTGGTCTACTGAAGTTCCACATTTACTTGTTTGTTCACAGGACAAACATTTTACATATCTTAATTCCTAATATGCCGAGTGCTGAGCACTGAGTATACAAAGATGAACAAGATTTGAATCCTACATGCAAAGGGCTCATGGTCTAGGTGGGAAAACAATAAATATCACAGGCAATAATTATAAAACAATGTGATAGGGCCCAGAAAAAAAAGATTGTAGGTCAAATACTAGAAGAGCACAGAGTAAGCAAATAACTATGTCCAGGACCTGGTCCTTATCATATCTGGCATGGATTATTAACAATAGAAACCTAGCTGCACTTACTACCTCCTTCCCCCTCCTCAACATTTCTCCTTCAAGAGAAAATGGAAATCTGGAGTATTATATGAATTTTACTAAATTTGTTTTAAGGATCTCACTCTGTTGCCTAGGCTGGAAAGCAGTGGCTTGATCATAGCTCACTGCAGCCTGGAATCCCTAGACTCAAGTGATCCCCATCTCAGCCTCTTGAGTAGCTAGGACTACAGGTGTGAGCTACCATGCCCAGCTAATTTTTATTTTTATTTTTTTGTAGAGGAGGGATCTTTGCTACATTACCTAGGCTGGTCTTGAACTCCTGGCCTTAAATGATCCTCCCACCTTATCCTCCTGAGTTGTTGGGATTACAGGGGTGGGCCACTGTGCCCAGCAAATTCTAATATTGAAATTTTCTTAATTTAAAAACAATTTTAAAAACAATGTTCTGCCCTGTCTTAAAGGATAAAGTTCCTTTACGTGGCAGAATAGTAGAGAAGTTAAGAGCATGGCTCTAAAGTTGGACCAACCTCAGTTCAAATTTTGAATCTAGTACTCACCCTTGTGAGAGCTGGCCCAAGTTACTTCACCACTCCAAGCTTCAGGTATGTTATTGATAAAGTAAGGATTAAAAACTTAACTCACAGGACATCAAGGAGGACTAAATGCAAATACTATATATGAAGGTCACGCATAGTCTCTGTACACAGTAAGTAATAATAACTAATTAGGGAAGACAAGGTTCATTGATAATATGGCTCCTGCCTACTTCTCCAACTTAATCTATCACTACCTTTGTCCTGAAAATTTATGCTCTACCTAAAACTGTCTCTCTACATTTCCTTATGTATTTTTTGTCTTCTTTTCTTTTATCAGACCCTAAAGCCCCTATTCATCCTTTAAGATATAGGTCAGTGGTCATCTTCTTTGGAAAGGTTTACCTAACTCCCCAGAATGAGTTAGGCACCCCCTCCTCTGTCCTTGTAGCACCTTGTGTATACATTTCACCTTTCTATACACCAGGACTCTACCTCTTTCACCTATCTCAAAATTCATTTCCAGATACTTCCATCCTGCCCCAGTATTCTTCTTGAAGTCACCAATGACCCCCTTATTGACAAATCTTTTCCATTTTCATTTTATTTTTCAGCTGCATAAACACAGTTGACTACTCCCTCCCTGAAACAATAAAATTGTTACATGAATACCACACTCTCCTGGTTTTCTTCCCATCTCTGTGGACACAAGTTTTCAATCACTTTCTCTTTTTCTTTTTTGTTATCCTACTTTCAAGCTAACAAGTCACTTTTTAAAACTCTTTTCTTTAAAGGTTTTTAAACCATTTTTCTCTTATAGCTTTCAGCTTTCTAGGTAAAATCATTCCATCCCACACTTACATTTCTAGCTCAGATCTCTCTTCTGATCTTTAACTTTGCAGATGTAATTGCTGATAGGACATTTCCATGTACTAATCTAATTATATCCTCTTCCTCAACTCCCACGTTCAATCCATCACCAGGTCCTATCCCTTCTAGTTCAGAAACTGCATCTGGAATTCTCCTGCTCCATCCATCTCCACTACCTTCACCCTGATCCAAATCACCATCATCTTTCATCTCTATAGATTCCAAAAGCCTGCTCACTGGCTTCCCTGTTCTTATTCTTGTTCTCCTCAGTCCATGAAACAGGCAGAGGGATCTTTAAACAATATAATTCTTCAACATGTCTCTACATTACTTGGGGGGAGGTGGGGAAACGCCAAATACTTTATTTACTAAAAGGCTCTTCATGAAAATGGCTCTAGCCCACCTTCCTAACTTCACTTCAGATTACCCTCTGCCTTCCTCCGATTTCCCCAAGTCACCAAGGTCTTGTATGTCTTAGGTCCTTGACAAATTCTATTCTGCCTAGAATGCTCTTCCCTCAGTTCTGTCAAATCTTTCAGGAATCAGTTTAAATGTAACCTCTCCTGACCATCCCATCTCAAGTCGATTTCCCCTACTATTGTCTTAGCACTGTTTGATTCCTTCATAGTAATTGCCATAATAAAAACAAATATATTTATTTGTTTTAAACTCTAACATCTCTGTTTGAAACAGACAGCTACGAGGTATGTTTTAGCCAACACTGTATATTCCGTACTTACCAGAGCACCAAGTGGTTAATGTTTCAGATGAATGTAAAACTCACTGCACTTATTTTGTGATTTAAAACGATTCCCCTCAAGAAACTGAGCTCTTTTCAAGTTAGGATTGTGTCTTCATTTTTAATTTTTGAACTGTTAGAACCAACCACAGTATCAGCTTCACAGTAGCATGTAATCCATATTTATTAAACTGAACTAAATCCAACCAACACAATCAGACAAATAACTAGATAGGAGAAGGGGGAGACACTAAAGAAGTGGGAGGTCCCAAGGCGAAGGGTGGTAGCACACCATTAATCAGGAAAGGCAATGCAGCAGCAATAGCAAGCAACTTTGGGAAAAGGATAATAAAAAATTCAATTTTTTGACAAGGTGAGCAATCTGTAGGATATAAAAGTAGATTTCCAGTAGACATTTGGAAATAAGGACCTAGAGTGGAGAGAGAGAGAAGTCCAAATATGTGGATAATTTTAAAACTAAGATCAGAAGACATTTTGAAAATATCATGAAAAAAATCTCAAAGAAAAAAGCATGCACATAGTTTTTTTTATAGACCTTTTGAAACCCATCCATGGTTTCCTCAAGGTTACGCATTTCTAATATAGGCGTAAAATGAAATCCTGAAGACAGATAACATCAATGAACTGACAGAGAAAAACAAAGACCTGGAAGCCCCTCTTCACATCTGTACTTGTATACAGATCTTATTTCCTTCCACTTGTAATTTCTCAGTTCCTGTTTTATTAGCTGTAAAATGGGAATGGCAATTATCTTCTTTAGAGGTTGTTGTGAAGGTTAAGTGGGAACATTGTAAACTGTGTGACACAGCATCTGGAACATAGGAGGACTAGCTCTTGGAAGTCAAGGTTTTACTGGCACTCACCATGAATAAGACAACATTTATTCTACTGTAGTTATTTATGTTCCATTCTTATCTCTACTAGAATGTAAAGTAGGAAACTGATCTTCATTTTTCTGTATCCTTCCAGACCCAAGGCCAGTGCTTTCCATATAGTAAGTGCTCCATAAATCTCTGTTGAATGAGGAAACTAAGCACAACTCCCAGTCACATCCAGTTGCCTTCTGCTGGTGAGTCACACCAATTGTGAGCACAGCGTAATAAAGCTTACAGGGAAGAGGAAGGGATTTGAAGTGGATGAACATTTAAAAAGTTGCCATCCTGTCCAGTTCACCAAAATGACTTTGTGAAAGTACTGCAGTGTTCAGTAAGAACACGTTTCATGTTGAGTTTCTGTTTTTAATTTGAATTCATATAAAGTATTTTAGTGATACTCATACAGGTCTCATCTGGCAAAACAAGTAAACGCAAAGGAAAAAGAATGTCCTATCTCAACAAAGCCATTCATTACAAATAAATATGAAGGTTTATGTAGTTCTGCACCATCCGAGAAGAGCATAATTTAGCTACTGAGTATTTTCGACGTTTACCTGTACATTAATTCTCCGCTACGTGTATTCACTCCCCCAACCCCAATTTAAATATGTGGGCGTCTGCTTACTAGGGGAATTCCAGGTTGTGCTTTCAGCTGTTGAGCTTCCTTAAGCCCCCTATGCAAAAGAGCTTCACATTTTTGGTCCACTGCTTGGGATCCTTCACCTGGTACAGCCTTCGCTCCAGGCTGAGAGAGCAGCCTAGGCAGCCTGACTCAAGGATGAATCTGAGCCACCGGTCCATGACGAAGCAGCTCCAAGAACACAGTGTGGGGAAAAGCATGAGGGGATGGGTGAGGAGTGGGCAAGAATCAAAACTCCACTGGGTAACAAAGCCCAAGCTCTGAGTTTAGCGACGTAAAACCTGGATTGACAGGTCACTGGAAGACCACTGCCATCAAGGTCCCTCGGATGCAGGGCTCGCCACAGTCTTCCTGTGCTAGGACTTTCCGCTCCTCGGACCTAGAGGATCCTCCTTGTCCTCGGACTCCAGGCTTCCGCTTCCCTCGCCCGCTGGGCTGCAGCCCGCACCCGCCCGCCCTGGGCACAGTTGCGTTACTCACGTCCTTCTTCACTTCAGTGAGGTCCTCCTCGGTGAGGGACGGCGCGGTGGGCTCCATGGTGGAGGCGGGAGATGGCGCTTCTTCCGGGTCCGGGAGCTCGAGCTGCGCCGCCCCGCCCTGGCTGGGGGCTTCGGTCTCCGGGTAATGGGGGAGAAGAAGAGGAGGCAGAGCGGGTCGGGAGAAAGACGGCCGCCCCTTCGGGAACAGAGGGACTCGGGGGGGTCAAAACGTAGCGCTTCCGGCCCCGCCCCTGGGGTCGACGGCGCCGCAAACCTACGCGTCGCGACGCGGAGCTCGGAGGAGTGTTCCTTCCCTCTCTTAGAGGCTCAGGCGCAGGGACCGCCCCGCGGAGCGTCCCTTGGCAGAGCCCGCCCTGTCTCCGCGGCAGCCTATTGGCGGCAGCCCGCGGGCCGATCCTGTTCCCGCCCCCGATCGGAGCCTTTCGGGTGGCTCCACCCACAATGGGCGTTTCCTCAAGCCACGCCTGCGCAGGTCGTCGGTAAGTGGCCCAGGTTAGCTTCCTCATAAGGCATCGTTTCCGTGGGTGGGGTCCGTGAGTGCCCAGGCAGCTGGCACCCTCAGCCTTTGCTGCCTGCTCACTTCGGGGGAGTCTGGTCTGGGCTTGTCAGTACCTTCGGGTTCCTCCCCTTTTCCCAGACCCTGCCCTACAATTTCCTGTTGCTATGTTTGCCAGTTATTGTTTCGGTCACACACGAACGCACTCATACACACATACACATGCATACACACAAACAGCCTAACTACTAAAGAAATTTTTGAAAGAAAAAAAGAAAGCACCTACAATCCCACCACTTTAACACCTAGTTTAATGTTTGCATACTTTTTGGTCACTGTTCATTGTAAACATAATTTTTCCTCATTAGTTAATCTGTGTAATGGAGATAGATATGCTTACATTTTAGGGCTGCTGGGATCATATATAAAGTTCTTAAAGGTAGTTGGCACACAGTATGCACTCAACTGATTATTTATTTATTTATGGAGACAGGATCTCACTCTGTTGCCCAGCCTGGAGTGTAGTGGTGCGATCTCGGCTCACTGCAGCCTCCACTTCCAGGGCTCAAGCGATCCTGCCACCTCAGCCACCAAGTAGCAGGGACTCCAGGCGTGCACCACCAACCAGCCCAGGTAATTTTTTTGTATTTTTTATAGAGATGGAGTTTCGCCATGTTGCCCAGGCTGGTCTCAAACTCCTGGGCTTAAGCCATCCACTCGCCTTGGCTTCCCAAAGTGCAGGGACTATAGGCATGAGCCACCCGGCTCATCCTACTCAAACATTTATTGAGTCCTCACTAATATGTTCTAGGCAACTTATACTATGAGTCCTCCATTTTATAGGGGGAGACTGATGAAGACACGACTATCCCCAGACCATATTCTAACTACTATGGTGCTGTGTAAAAAGCAACCTGAGAAGTGTGGATGACAAGCTACAGGTAGGGCCCTGGGCCCAAGACGGTCGCTTGGACAACATGCTAAATAAACTATAAATAAACTCGATAGTATTTGAAGCTACAAGAGTAGATAAAAATTACAGGAGGACCAAGGACAAACTTGGGAAAGCCAATGTTTAAGGAAAGGGAAAGCAAAAACACACACACACACACACAAACAATGTAACCAGAGCCACAAAAACTAGAATCACAGCACAGGGATTCTGATGTTTACATTATGTCCTGTTTCCATGTTGACACATTATACAAGGACAGTATTTTTTCTGATTGCTTAATTGTTCATCATCTTCCATCTGATTTGCTTAACCATTCATCCTTTCACTTAACAAATGTTTTTTGAATGTCCACCATGTGCCAGACACTGTTCTAGGTGCTAGGAAAACAGCTGTGAACAAAACCAATAAAAATCCCTTTCCTCATGGAATTTATATTCTAGCGTATGTGTGTTTGGGGCAGAAGAGGTAGGCACTTGAAAAATCTTATCTAAGTTTATTTATTTATTTATTTGGAGACAGAATCTCACTCTGTCACGCAGGCTGGAGTGCAGTGGCACGATCTCGGCTCACTGCAACCTCTGCCTCCCAGGTTCAAGTGATTCTCCTGCCTCAGCCTCCCGAGTAGCTGGGATTACAGGCATGTGCCACCACACCCAGCTATATCTAAGTTATTTTAAAAAATTAATTAATTTATTTTTTTGAGACGGAGCCTCACCCTGTTGCCCAGGCTGGAGTGCAATGGCACCGTCTCGGCTTACTGCAGCCTCTGCCTCCCGGGTTCAAGCAATTCTCCTGCTTCAGCCTCTTGAGTAGCTGGGACTACAGGCCCATGCCACCACATCCGGCTAATTTTTGTACTTTTAGTAGAGATGAGGTTTCATCACGTTGGCCAAGTTTGTTTTAAACTCCTGACCTCAGGTGATCTGCCCACCTCAGCCCCCCAAAGTGCTGGGATTACAGGCGTGATCCCCCATGCTTGCCTATATCTAAGTTATTTAATTTATTAGAAGATGATAAATGCTAAGAGGAAAAAATAAAACAGGGAAGCAGGATGAGACTGTATGGATTGGTTAAAATTTAAACTAGAGTGGTCATGACCTCATTGCTCACTTTGGGAGAGTCTGCTCTCGGCTTGTCAATACCAAGATAAGGGATTTCATTTATGCTTAAAGGAAGTGAGGAAGTAAGCTGTGTGGATATAAGGAGAGAGCATTATGAGTACAGCCGGCAACCAACAAAAATGCTCAGTGTAACTGGAAGGAGATGAACTCTTTGTGTGCTGAGTCATGAGTGTGCTGAGTCAGACGGGAAGCCACTGGAAGGTTCTGAGCAGAGTGACATGATCTGATTTGTGATTTGAAAGGAAGCACTTTTACTTTTGTGCTAAGGGGAAAGAAGATGGAAGAGGGAAAACCATTTAGGGAGTTATTGCTTTATCCAGGCCCCAGAGGTTGTGGTTCAGACCAGGGTGGAGCAGTGAGGGTGGTGGGAGCATTTTGAAATGAAGCAAGGAAGCAGTTTGATTTCATTTTGAAAGGATCACCCTGGCTGCTAAGTGGAGAGTAGATGGCAGGGGCAAGGGCAGAACCAGAGACTGGGTGGAGGCTACCACAATGTCAGGTTCATGACTGCACCAAATGTCATGCTTGGGGTCAGGTTCCAGCCCATGCTGAGGTCTAAGGGGAGTGGGTGGATAAGCAGAAAGAACACTCAGGGGACTATAGGCAGGTGAAAGATGATTTTACTCAGCAGCAGCTCTCGTCAACAGCTTTCTTACACTAGCTCTCTACACTGTCCACCTTGTCTCAGCTGCTTAGTCTGGCAGCTCCCCTACACAGCTGCGTGGCTGACTCTCCCTTGCCTTCAGGGTCAGCAGCTTAACTCTTTCTCCCTCTGGGCACAAGCAAGCCGAGCTGTGTCCTGGCTCCCCACTGTCAGTCTCCAAGATGGACAGCTCTGGCTCTCTCTCTCTCTCTGGGTGCCAGCACATCTGCACAGTGTCAATGGGCAATTATACCTTTTACAGACAATAGTGGCTTAGAGCCAAGGGATGGCCTTCCCATGTAATGACTGCATAGCTGTGATAACAAGTGGAGTTATACGCCTGCGCTGTAAACTCGCTGAGTCCCTGTGGATGTTTACCTTGGCCTGTCCTTGACCAAACCACAGCCATGTTCCTTACACACAGCCATCCAGGCACAGCTTAGGGTGGCGTGACCGGGGTTGGGGCAGTGGTGAGCACTCCCCACTGACACCTTAAATTGTTCCCAAGTGTTCATTGTTACTAAAAAATTGTCAATTTACATATTTTCATCAGTTTTCCTTTCAAATTATCATTGCCTTTGCATAAATTCCCAGAACCAGGAGTACAAAGCCCAAGGAAATGAATATTTTATGACTTTTCGTATATATTTTTGCAGGTGCTCTCCAAAAGGGTTGTATTGGTCTATCTGTGTGTGGGAATGAACTGTTTTTACCACAGTCAGATCAGTTCTGCTGATGAAGGAGAGGATTCACTCATCAAAGCAAGTGAATTGAATGCTGCCAGTTTAATGCACTCATTTTGAGGTTGCTACTGCACTGTTGTTCTTTTTTAAAGGAAACATTTTAAGCCCACCAAACTATAAAGAATATTACAAACACCCTACGCTCACTGCCAAGATTGAACAGATATTGATATATTGCCACATTTGCTTGTTATGGCTTTTGATTATCAAATGTTAGTGGCAGACATCTTTGATTCTTGAACATTCTTCCATGCCCTTACTATACATCTGAGTCTTTCTCTTTCCTTGACCATCATTTCATTTCTGACACCTCCAACCCTTTTCTATTCTCAGTATTCATTTCCTTATTTATTTAGTCAACTAAAAAGTTAAGTGTCTGCTCTGTGTAAGAATTGGGAGTTACAGAATGAGGATCAGGGATTGGGTGGGACTGAGTGAGGATTACAGGAGTTTTTTATAGCTGAAAGAGTAATATTTTGCTTTTCAGACTATGTGTCAATGTTCCCAAGATGGATTGCCTAGCTTAAAAAGCCACATCTGAATCACGTGCTTAATCACAGAGCTCGTTTGTGGCAGGCTTTGCAACTCCCCGTCCTTCTTGCTTTCTAATGCATCACAATTCTTTCATTAGTAAACTAATTTTCCTCTTTCTGCTAAATCACAGGGTCTGTCTAACAATGAAGTTTGGGCATAGTTTCAAGAAAACAGCCCTGCCCATCCACTACCTTGCAATAATCCTACTTCTTCCTCATCCCTTAACACAGCCTCCATACCACCTCAACTTCTAGGTACTCCATCTGCCTCCTACTGTGAAATAGAAGGCACCTGAGAAATGTGCTGTGAGGGATACGGTTTAGGTGCTACAAGCATAAGGCTGCATAACATTGTGGTACAGATGAGATATCATTACGAATGAGGATGTCTGATACCTGACAGACAGTGTATTAGTTTCCTAGGGCCATCATACCAAATTACCAAAAACAAGGTGGCTTAACAGATATTTATTCCCTCACAGTTCTGGAGGCTGGAAGTCCAAAATTGGCAGTGCCATGCTCTCTCTGAAGCCACGAGGGAGGATGCTTTCCTTGCCTCTTCCTCACTTCTGGTGGCTTCTGGAAATCCTTGGCATTCCTCAGCTTGTGGTGGCATCACTCCCACCCTAGCCTCCATCTTCACATAACCTTCCTCTCTGTGTCTCCTCCTGTGTTTCTGTGTCCACGTTTCCTTCTTTTTAAAACGCCAGTCACTGGATTTAGGGCCCACCCTAATTCAGTATGACCTTACCTTAACTTGATTACATCTGTAAAGACACATTTTTTTATTCTTTTGAGACGGTCTTTCTCTGTCACCCAGACTGGAGTACAATGGCACAGTCATGGCTCATGGCAGCCTCAAATTTCTGGGCTCAAGCAGTCCTCCTCCTTAGCCTCCCAAGTAGCTGAGAATACAGACATGTGCCACCATGCTCAGCTATTTTTTTTTAATTTTTACTTTTGTAGAGACAAGTGTCTTGTTATGTTGGCCAGGCTGGTTTCCAATTCCTGGGCTCAAATGATCCTCCTGCCTCAGCCTCCCAAATTGCTGGGATTATAGGCATAAGCCACCATGCCAGCCAAAGACTCTATTTTGAAATAAGTTCACATTCCAGGTTCCAGTAGATGTGAATTTTGGGGAGATGCTATTCAAGTCAGTACAGCTGAATTCTACATTTGCCGATTATTAGCTGTAGGATCTTGGATCAATTAGTAAGTATGCAATAAAGATAGTGATAATAAGAATTCAGAGGTAGGGAAGAGGAAACCGTTCTGACCAATAAAACAACATGAAAGAGGAGTTCACCCAGTATTTAAGCTGGGTGGGAGGATTTTAACACGTGGAGCTTTAACTGCTTGTTGATTATTTATTCCATACTTCCTGTCAGATGTCAGATGCTGTATTGAGCAACAAATTCTATTCCAGGTGGTTGTGGAATTGTAAATTATGGATTATCCATTTTCTGTAAATGGTTGGAAGAAAAAAGTGGCCAATTCTGAGACAGACACTCTTAGGTTTTAATGGCAAGATACTATGTGGTGAAATTCAGATGTTCAGCACAGGGACTTTGTGAAGACTCCTGGGGGTCCTGTCTCTAGGAATGGCTCTCGGCTTAGGAAGGAAAGACCAGGAAAGTGTAGGGTGGTGGGCGTGGACCTGAGAAAATGCTCTGACAATATTTGCTAGTGCACCCCAACACTAGGACATTGCTGGGGCTGATGAGGGAACCAGAGATAAGTGATCATTCCCTTTGCCTTCCCCCTAGAAGCCTAGTTTGAAGAGTGCAGGCAGGCACCTGCTATGAATCCTGAATGTTTGGAGGTTGTATACCAATATACCAGCAGGGGGATATTGGAGGAGGGGCTAGATCTCCCAGTCTTACAACTCCCTGGGAAGAAATAATCACTAGCAGTTTATTTCACATTCACTCTGAGCCAAGCGCTTTACATCTGTGGTGGGAATTTAATGCCTATAACAGTCCTTACAGGTAGGCTTTATTATCCTCACTTTAGAGATGAGAAATCTGAAGCTTAGAAACAAGATTTGCCCAAGTTCATTCTCCCACCAAGTAGCAGAACTGGGATTCCAGTTCAGCCTTGATAATAAGGCCAGTGTTCTTAATTATTAGCTGTAGACTGAGCTAAGTGCTTCAGGACATAATGATTCAGAAGAAGCTAGGATGCTTGAGTATTCTCTGAATCATTATATCCTGAGCCTCACAAATGGGTTTATCTGCTCCAGCTTAGGATTCATGAAGGACAATGTGCAACAATGAGAGTAGCTGAAGACCGGCAATGTTAACTAATGCAAGTCTCAGAAAGAGGAAGATGATATTTGCAAACTCCGGGTGGGGTTTGATGGCAAGCATAATTCCAGAAAATAACTTT